GAGAATGGAGGAGAAGGGATTGCGGCGTGACCATCTCCTTGACCAGCCCCCCTGGGGGAGTGATTTCTCGCTTTCTATCTCTATGTCTCTCTGTCTGTCTGGCGAGCGCACACACCCTATAGCGAAAACCTCTCCAAAAAAAAAAAGATTTTAGAGAAACTTTTGTGAAGAATCAATCTCATTGTTAAAAATATCAAAGCAGGGCTGGCAGGTGGCATGGTGGTTAAAGCACTAGATTCCCACATGGCTGACTGTGGTTTGAGTCCTGGACTTGGTGGCTTGCTTTCTCACTTTCTGTTTCTCTCTGGTCAAGTTAAATAATAATAAAAAATAAAAAGAAATAATTCTCTATATATGTATATGTATACATACACACACACACATCAAAGCAACTAGAACAAAATACAAATCTCGATGCACTGAGTTAGTCTGTATTAGTGATGGTCCTCCAGGAAGTCCAGCACTGAGGCCCTGCAGGGGTTGAGCTGGAGCCTGCTCAAGGTCAGAAGGACCCAGGTTCTGGTCTGCCCCGCGCACAGGCGGCAATGTTTGCTGCGCTTCATTTGCTCATCCCGTAAGCCCCCGTGTGCCAATCGCAGACGACTACATCTTTTGGAGGTGGTATCTTACCACCTCAGTTTTTTTTTTTAAATTATTATTTTTTCGAGAGGTTTTTGCTATAGGGCGCATGAGCTCGCCAGAAAGACAGAGAGAGACAGAGAGATAGAAAGTGAGAAATCACTCCCCAGGGGGGATGGCCACACCATAATCCCTTCTCCATTCTCCTCTCGGGATCTTGGACATGCACGCACACGCACCCAGCGTGAGGTTAAGCCACCTGATCTGGGACTCGAATAGCGATCGACTACATGGGAGTCCAGCAATATAGCCATTATGCTAACTGCTGGTCCCATTTTTTTAAAAAAATTATTTTACTTAACTTAATTCACTTATTCACTGGGTTTTTAATTTGACCAGAGAGTGGGGGGAGAGAGAGAGAGACAGAAAGTGAGAAAGGAAGCTGCCAGGTCTGGGACTCGAACCATGGTGAGCCATGTGGGAGTGTCCAGTGCCCTAACCACCACGCCACCTGCTGGCCCCACCGCCCGATTTTTTTTACAGCACAGCTTTATTGAGATTTCACTCACATACCATACAATCCCCACTGCAAGTTGCAACTCAGTGCTTTCTAATATATTCAGTGTTGTGCAAATACAATTCTCATCACTTCTATTGGCTTTTTGATTTTAAAGTTGTTTTCTTTAGGCAAGTCTTTTTTTAAAAAATATTTTTAGTAAGAGATATGCTAGACCTTTTACTTTTATGTCTAAGCCATATTATGGCAGCACTTTACTAAAATTTAATCCACTTAAATGCTACCTCATCTTTTTTGTTCCAGACCTGAATGTTCCCTGGGATCTGAGGAAGCTGAGGCTTCCTGTAACTGCACACACACATGTGAAGGGTGCTGTTGTCTTTTTTAACATTAATTTTTACTGTGATAAAATAGGAATAACAAAATTTACCACTTAAACCATTTTTCCTTCTAAAAATGTTGTATTTTTTCCATTTTCCACTTGATTTCTGACGATGCAGCACTCCCTCCACATCCACTGTCGGTTTTGACAGAAGACCTTGCACAGCCAAGGACAGGGTCACAGAGGGAGGGGCTGGGGGTCCAGGTAGTGGCCACGACTCACTTTGCTCACTGAATTCCCTTGGGCTTGCAGCGTGCCTGGCACGCACGGTGCTCAAACGTCTGGTGACTAGATGAGGGAGGACAGCAGCGAGTCCCCAGAGGGGACGGAAGTCAGGAAGGACATCCCAATCCCACTGAGCGCCTATCCGAACTGGCAGGCTCTCCTTCCTCTCACGCTACGCGGGGGCAATTCTGCAACATGTGGAAGTTACCCGGACGTGGTGCTGCTGTGAAGTGGCAGTCTCCTAGGCTGGGCACTTTCTATTCTTCATGCCACTGAATCTTGCCAAGAAAGCTGGCAGGTATAAATATGTCCACACTCACAGACGAGCCAAGAGGTTCCGCGAGGACACGGCCACAGCCACACCGCTCCCCCACGCCATGGCACATCTCTCGGCGCTGTGATTCAACAGTGCGTTTCATTTCTTTAGGACTCAGAGGTCCGAAGCCATTGTCTACACTGCCTCAGGGGTCTCTGCGCTTCCTCCTGCTTTGCCTGGAAATCAGATCGAGGCGAGGGCTGTGAGCTACATGAAAACCAAGCCCAGGCTCATTAGGGTCCGATTACTGGTCTGACCCAGACGGAGGGGCCAGCACCGCCGCACTCTCCAGAGGTGTCTCCTCCCTGCCTTTGGAAAGGCTGTGGTCAAAGCTGAGTGATGCAAAGGAGCCTCATGCAGACCTTCACCCAAGGGAACCAAGATGACCCTCACGGGTTAGTCACTGCTGTCAGAAGAGTGAGCTCTTCTTACAACCTACCTGCCTGTCTCCCCCCTTTCCTACTCGCCGCCCCAGACTCCGGTCCCCAGCCCACTCCCACGCAGCTCATCACACCCAGACAGCCTGACTGTAGTACTGCCGTTATGCACGTTAAGTCGGTATTGGTGAGCCATGAAATTAATTTGCGGATATTAGAAACAGCAGATCACACACCGTATGTCACACATCGAAATGACTTTTTTCTTTTTGAGAGAGAGAAAGTGAGAAATCACCCCACAGGGGGGACAGCCACACTGCAATCCCTTGTCCTCCATTGTCCTCTAGGCATTTGGGGCATGAATGCACATGCGCCCAGTGGGCTCATGCACCCAATGGGAGTTTTAAGCTGCTGGGTCCAGGCCTTGAACCACGGTTGACTACGTGGGAGTCCAGTGATGTAACCATTACTCCACCTGCTGGTCCCAACACATAGAACTGATTTGTACATACTCCTCCATTGAGTCTCAGATGTAATTACAGTTTTGGACATTTCTGAAATCAAGAGGGGGGGACCAGCAGGTGGCGTGGTGGTTGGGGTGCTGGACTCCCACATGGCCGACCATGGTTCCCCTCTGTGCCCAGACCCAGTGTTTTGCTTTCTCACTTTCTGTCTCTTTCTGGTCAAATTAAAATAAATGAATGAGTAAATCCAATTAAAAATAAGTATCTAAAAAAAAAGAAATCAGGAGAGGACTTAGAATTGCTGGACATCTTTTTATTTTCTACAATTTGCTAGAGGGCATATGCACTGGCTGGAGAGAGAGGAAAAGTGAGAAAGTGCCCCCTCCCCACCCCCCGAGTCATGAGCGTTGCAATCCTTTCTCCTCCATTTCTTCTTTAGGATTTTGGGCATGCATGCACATGCGTCCAGCGTTTTTCAAACAACCGGGTTCGGGACTTGATCCCATGTGGGATTCAGCCACCCTAATACCACTTGAAGCTACTGCCTCAAGGCCTCTCCTGAGGCTGCAACTGAGGGGCCACCTAGGGCTTCATCCCCATCTGAAGGCCTGGCAGGTACCATCTGCACAGGAGCTCACGGGTGTGGTGGGTGGCAGGAGTCAGGTCTTCACAGGCTGCTGCCTGGAGGCTGCTCCATGGAGCAGCTGGTGACCATCCTGTGTCCTGTGGTGCTCGGCCCAGAGCAAGCTCCGGATGCTGCTGCGTCCCTGACATCCGAGCAGGGCATGGCGGCAAATGTGCTGTGTCCTGTCGCAGGGGGCCAGGGTGGAGAGGACTGTATCACGGCCCTGCCCTCAACACCTTGATGGCTCCCATTCCACTGAAGGTGAAGAGCCCTGCAACTATGCCCCCCCATCAGTCCCACCAGGTTTAGGGTGCACTGGCTTCTTCCTCTTTTCCCCGAAGTCTGCCTGCCTCACTCCCACCAACCCTCGGTCCCTGATGAACCACTTCCTCAGATACCGCCCTTAATTGCTTCATCTAAATGAGATCCCCTGGAACAGTCTCCATAGCACCCGCGCCGCACTCCTTCCGGTTTGAGATGAAATCTTTATGGCATTTGATTACCGCTTCTCTCCCTCGCTAGATCGGAAATCAAGCCAGGAACTGAACTGGTTTTTTTAGTGCTGTTTCCTTTTACCAACGTGGTGTCTGCTCACAGCAGCAACACCTACTCACTTCATGTTTCTGTTTGGGACCAGCAGTTGGCATAATGGCTATGTTGCTGGACTCCCATATATTTCACCACAGTTCGAGTCCCAGACCTGGTGGCTTAAACTAATGCTAGGTGCGTGTGTGTGCGTGCCCGAGAGAATGGAGAAGGGATTGTGGTGTGGCCATCCCTGCTGGGGGTGATTTCTCACTTTCTGTCTTTCTTTTTCTGGAGAGCGCATGAGCCCTATAGGAAAACCTCTCCAAAAAAAAATAAGAAGTGTATTCTCACCTCTACTTAATAAAGTACCTTTAAAAAAAGTGTTTCTGTTAGAAATTGCGGCCAATCACAAATTAACTTGTCTTTCAATGAGTCAAATCCATAAGAAAGAGTTGCAACTTTAAATTCTACAATTGAGACTTTCTGTGTATCAGTGTTTTGGTCACTGGGGTGCTATACAGGTATCAATGACCAGAAGTTTTGGTGTGGGATGGGCACAGACAATGAACTCTTTCGTTTTTTTCCTGTGTTTAGTTTTACCATATGGTGCATGTGCTCACAACGGGGACAGAGAGAGAGAGAGAGAGAGAGAGAGAGAGAGAAGGGAGAGAGAGAGAGGAGAGATAGGTAAAGTGAGAACTCACCACCCAGGGCGCATGGCCACACTGTAATCCCTTCTCCTCCATTTTTCTCAGTGGATTTTGGGCATGTGCACCTGGCCTCTGGAGTGTTTTTCAAGCCGCCAGGTCTGGGATTTGAACCCTGAAGTTAGCATTGTGGGATCCAGCGTCTTAACCATGCCACTTGCTGGTTCTTTTTGTTGTTTTTCTCTCTTTAGACTAATCTACGGAGCTTTAGGTATTTCACCAGATCATGATCCCAACCAAGTGACGCTGAGCACGCAGGGAAACACCCGGGGGCCAGTCCGGCCTACTTGCTGCAACTCCTCGGAAGAGAGGCGAGGTGCCACCCAGAAAGACCACACCACTTGCCTGTCCTCAGAGCTTAAATGAGATGCTAACACTCACTTTTTTGAAACTAAATACATTTTAATAGAAAACAAAATACAAAATAACTCTTTTCAGAAAACAGAAATATTTAATCCTTTTCCCACAAATTAGAACTCGCTTTACCCTTAGCACCGTTTGCTACGGTGAGCAGGTACTCACAGTCTGTCCCACCAAGTGTCCGTCAGACTGGTCTCGCAGTGCAGGAGGTGGCGCGTCGCCGCAGGAGGACGGCAGCAGGAAGCACACCTCTGGATGAACGGGCTTCGAGAGCCTCAGCATCGTTCTAGCCTATCTTGTGACTTATCGCTCCAAATTATCCTCTACCATACTCTTTCATTTCAGGGGGGAGAGTCAATATGAGTGCAGCTGTGAAGATCTTCCTTTCCCACCATCACTGCAAGAGCCCGCAGTGTTCTTGATCAAACCCACCCGCCCCTTCCAGAAACACAGCGGCCGGAGTTGTAGACCCACCCCGGCGTTTCCCTTTCTCCCAATACACTGTGCTACCAAATTCTCTGAATTCCCTGAACCTCAAAATTCCAAGTATCACAGCCAGTGCCAGGAGTCAGACCTGAAAGATAAATGCAGAGACGGTCCCCTCTGCCAGTGCTAGGTTTCCTCTTCTCAATAATAATAATAATTATAATTATAATAACAATAAAAAAAATCCTGGATCTCTATAAATATGGGAAGGAAAGACTTCTGGCCAGGATCATCCCCTCCCCTTTCCTAGCCCCTGTCCCCACACCCCTCCATTACTAAGGACTTCGCTTCCACTGAGGGACAGACCGCACCTGACCCTCGTCGCACTGCCCCTCCTGAGAGTGCTCTGCGACCCCCGCCACACCCAGCCCCACAGTGGGGAAGCTGAGGCGGGCAGTGTGGTCGTGGCAGGTCTCTGAGAACTCAAGATCTTCCTTGAAACATCCTAATTCTTGATCTCTTGTCCTCTGGCCACTGACCCCCTGGCTCCACAGTCCATGGACACTGAGGGGCTGAACAGAGGGGCGCCTACTGGATGGGGTCCCGGGAGGAAGGGCAGGCGGGGGCTCTTCCACAGTCAGTCAGTGATTCGATCTCGGCTTGTCCCAGGACTGTAATTGTGGCCTTCCGCCACAGCCCTGGTGGCGCCAACGAAGATACAAAATTAATGTTCCTGATTTTCTTGTGTAATCCCAGTCACCAGAAGCAGGTTGCAGGCCATGAACTGCACGCTCAGGACGTTGCTCATCTGCCCGGTGTAGACGCCCACAAGCTCGCTGGAGGAGCCATCGGCGGGCGTGCTGCAGTAAGTGTTCCTGACGTCCCAAACGCGCACAGAGTTGTCCATGGAGGCCGACGCGATCAGGCCGTTGTCCGGACTGAAGGTGAGGCTGGTGATGTTGTCCGTGTGGCGTCTCAGTTCTTTGTAAAGCGTCCCAGAGGCCAAGTCCCACAGCTTCAACCGCTGGTCCTCGCCGGCCGAAGCCAAGTACTTACCGTTGGGGGAAAAGGCGAGGGCGAGCACAGGGCCACGGTGGCCGGTGAAGAGCCTCACCGAGTTCCCCTGCTGGGCGCTCCACAGCCGGACGGTCTTGTCGGTCGAGCCAGTGGCTAAGTAGTTTGAGTTCGGGTGGAACTTGACACAGTCCACGTCTGCCAGGTGGCCCGCGTATACCCGCAGCGGGTACGTCCGATCGAATGACCACAGCCTGGCGGTGCGGTCGTGGGACGCACTGGCGAAGTACAGGCTGTAGGGGCTGATGTCCAGGTCCCACACTGGGTAGGCATGCCCCTGGTACAAGACGGTGTTGGTGCAGCTGCCCAGGTCCCAGTACCTGATGGACATGTCTTCCGAACAAGAGAGCAACCCTGAGCTGTCTGCGAGGAACCTCGTGCTGTACACCGGGCCGCAGTGGCCCCGCAGGGTCTTCATCTCTGTGCCTGCGTTCTCGTCCTCCTCCTCCTGGGGACAGCGGGCGGGTGGGGGAGGAACAACACAAAGAATGTTTAGTGTCTGACAAAGCAAGTCCAGGCAGAGGGAACAGTGCAGGGATGGCGTGAGGAACAGCATCTATCCAGATGATGGTGGTCTTGGACTGAAAGGCCGTCCGGGAAAACAACGCAGTTGCATATTGAATATAAAGGCTCTTACAATCTAGGATTTGCTTTCCAGAAATCCATCTTGGGGCTTAGACTATCTCATATTGAAAAATGCAGAAACGCAAGGCTACTTGGCCCGAGCAATGCCTGTGTGACCTACAGCCAAGTCCATCATCAGCTCTGCTCCATGGCGTTGGGAGAGGTCTCCTCTACGGGCTAGCACCATGGTGTAGAGGTGAAGGCAGCTGGATCCCACATGACTGACTGTGGGGTTTGAGTCCTGGACATGGCAGTTTGAGAAACATTCTGGGAGTGTGTGCCAGTCTGCCCAAAATCCTGAAAGGAGGGAGAAATGGAGGAAAAGGGATTGTGGTGTGACCACAAAGGAGGATGCTTTCTCATTTTTCCCTTCTCTCTCCAGTGAGTGCACATGCCCTCTGTCAAAAAAATTTCAAGGGACCAGCAGTTTGTGCTGGACTCCCACGTAGTCAACCGCGGTTCGAGTCCCGGACCCGGTGGCTTAAACTTACGCCGGGCGCGTGTGCTTGTGTGCCCAAGATCCCAAGAGGAGAATGGAAGAGAAGGGATTGTGGCGTGGCCATCCCCCCTGGGGGGTGATTTTTCGCTTTCTATCTCTCTGTCTCTCTCTGTCTTTCTGGCGAGCGCACGCGCCCTATAGCAAAAACCTCTCAAAAAAATTTTTTTTTAAGAAGAAAAGGGGCCAGCAGGTGGCATGGTGGTTAACGTGCTGCTGGACACTCCCATATGGTCAACCATGGTTTGAGTCCTGGACCTGATGGTTTGCTTTCTCACTTGCCCTCTCTGTGTTTCTCTCTGATCAAATTAAAATAAATGAATGAGGGGCCAGCAGGTGGCGTGGTGGTTAAGGTGCTGGACTCCCATGTGGTCAACTATGGTTTGAGTCCCGGACTTGGTGGTTTGCTTTCTCATTTTTTCTCTCTCTGTCTCTCTCTCTGATCAAATTAAAATAAATGAATGAAAAAATGAAATTAAATAATTAAAAAAAAAAGAAAAAAATTTTACTTTCAAATTTCTGCTAAGCTCTTTATTCTTTTATTCTAGTGGCATTTTCTTTATCTGTCAGTTTTGGCTGCCTCATGCTCCCTGCTCCTGCCCTATTTAACGCAATCCTGGTATACCCGTGACTCCCAGGACAGGGGTCAGTCAGGAAGCAACATGGGAAGGAAGATGTAGTCTCACTTCAAAACTTCTTTGGAATTACCTGTGGTGGTAAGACAAAAACCTGGATGTGGGGGCCAGCAGGTGGCGTGGTGGTTAAGGGCGCTGGACTCCCACATGGCCGACCGAAGTTCGAGTTCGAGTTCGAGGCCTGGCAGGTTGCTTTCTCACTCCCCCCTCACTCTGTCCCTCTCTGGTCAAATTAAAATGAATAAATAAATAATAAAGTTAAATAAAATAATTCTTAAAAAAACTATTTTATTTTTTATTTATTCATTCATTTATTTTTTAATTTGACCAGAGAGAGACAGAGGGTGAGAGTGAGAGAGAGAGGAAGTGAGAAAGCAAGCCACCAGATTCAGGGCTCAAACCCTGGTCGGTCATGTGGGAGTGTCCAGCGCCTTAACCACCATGCACCTGCTGGTCCCCTGAAATAATTCTTAAAAAAAAAACCAAAACCCTGGATGTGTATGAACAGTGAGCAAGAAAGATACTGGTATGAGGAAATTAAACTCCCCCCAAGGCTGGGACCCCCAGAACTGCTGGTGTCTCTTCTCCCACACGAAGGTGAAGTTTTAAAACGGACTTTTCAGAGGTCTCAGATATTCCCCTCAAAGAAATAAAACAAGGCCTGGAGTGACCAGCAGTAACGGTTACATCGCTGGACTCCCACAGGACAAACGGTTCAAGTCCTGGATCTTCCAGGTGCATGTGCGTGCGTGCCCAAAATCCCGAGAGGAGAATGGAGAAGGGATTGTGGCATGGCCATCCCCGTGGGGCGTGATTTATCACTTTCTGTCTCTCTGGTGAGTGTATATGCCCTATAGCAAAAAATCTCAAATAAATGAATAAAAATAAAACAAGGTATGGATTTAGAATTGCTTTAAACAAAGCCAAGTGACTCATGTGATTCTTGGAAATAATCTATGCGTGAGGAGAGGAGAGAAGCCAGCCACTCATGTCCTCAGGAAGAAGGCTGCCACCACCCACCCCCGCTTTCCACAAGCGTGCTGTCTGCTTTCAAAGACCGTTTCCCTTTATTCCCTCACAGGCAGGTGTCTCAGAACCATAGCTGTGCTAGCACGGGACACAGAAATTACAACGGAGCGCAACTAAGCCCCGGAGAGAAAGGAAGATGCAGTCTCGAGCCAGCTGGCTCTGCTGGCTCCCTGCATGAGCCCTGGCTCCTGCACAGAAAAAGGCCACCATTGAGAAGGCCATCCTTTCGACCTGAAAAGGATTAAATTCAAAGTAAGCTGTACATGTATTTGATAAGATGAGAAATTAAGCACTGATGCCCGTGAATGTTCAAAATGGCTTTTCTAGACACGACTTTAAAAACACAGAAGCAGGGGCCGGCAGGAGGCATGGTGTTTGAGGATGCTGGACCTCCCGCATGGCTGAGCATGGTTCGAGTCCCGGACCTGCTGGCTTGCTTTCTCACTTTCCCTCTTTCTTTGTCTCTCTCTCTGTCCTTCTCTGGTCAAATTAAAGCAAATAAATAAATTAAGTTAAATAAAATAATTCTTAAAAAAAAATATGGAAGCATCTGGAGAGCAGGTTGTGAGTGCTCCCACTTGGAATGTCAGTGACTTTTCTTTCCAAAGAGGTTACGACAACACTGCAGAATTTCAAGAGTGACTCATCGCTCCCCAGAAAGTTTATGTAAGGGCTGCTGGGAGCAGCAGTGACCCTGGTGAACAGTACGAAGGACTGAAAGTTCGCTCTGACTTACATGGCACACCACTGCAGGCCTAGGGGTCTGCTTTGCAGCAGGAAACTATGGCCGTGGCCTTGGCCTCCCTGGTGGGGACAAGATGACGTGCTTGGACTGGCAGTCAAGCTGGCATGCACCAGGGGTTCCCGGGACTGTCACGGGTCTGTGGTAAAGTGCAGACCAAGGAACAGACCTGGATGCTCCTGCTGGCTGTCAGTGTTGGCGTCCACCAGGACCACAGCTTAAAATAACCTGGCTACGCTTTCGGGTGGCTCAATCCAGTCCCGCAGGGCCTTGGTGCAGCGGGGCAGCTGATCTGCACACGCTGGCCATCAGGATAACCCCCAGAACTCGGACAAGGCTGAACACGCCACAGTACATGGGCATGCATCCCAGACACAACTTCCTCATTTATAAAGTCTATGCAGGTAATAGTGACCCTATTATGCACATTATTAAAAAAACATGGATGAGAAGAAATCCAAAAGTAAGAAAGCTGAGTGTAGGTGTGCCTTCTGAATCCCCTCAGAATCGCAGCCTGGCTAGTGTGAACCGGTGTGTGCTGCACGTGTAACATACACATCAGGTTTCGGACATTTATGATTTATAAAGATGTATCTAACAGATTTTTTAAAATAATTTTTTCGTGTTGCTTGCATTTTTTTGGGGGGGAGAGGTTTTTGCTATAGGGCGCGTGCACTCGCCAGAAAGACAGAGAGAGACAGACAGAAAGCGCGAAATCACCCCTCAGTGGAGATGGCCACGCCGCAATCCCTTCTCCTCTCGGGGTCTTGGGCACGCACGCACATGTGCCCGGCGTGAGTTTAAGCCACCGGGTCCAGGACTCAAACCGTGATCGACTACATGGGAGTCCAGCGACATAG